GCTTGTGTCTGGTGGCAACATCGAGTTAATAGTAATGACGTTCGACGTCGCATCTTGGGAAATGCGAGTATTCCCTTCGACAAATTGGTTTTGTTGCGCCAGTTGAGATGGCTCGGTCAAGTCCTACGCATGGCACTTGAGCGTCTAGAGCGTCGAGCTCTATTCGCTCGTCAAGGACTTGGCTGGAGACGACCGCATGGTGGTCAGCTTTCTGCATGGCGGCAGCACATGAAATCGTTGACGTCGTGTCTAGCCGCTGTTGGATCCGTACGTCTTTCAGGATGGGGACCCAAAGATGAGGAGTGCCAATGGCTTAACACTCTTGAAGACATGGCCCGCAACCGGAATCCGTGGAAGAATTGTGTGCAGTATTGTATTGATTCACGTGTTTAACACTTCAAATATTGAAAAAGACAAAAAAGAAAAATCCGCATGTGAAAAACAAACTAAAAGTATTTCGTTCTACACACACAAGGGATGACTTATCTGCTGCATATAACAAGGCGGATAAGAAAAAACCTGCTAATGCTGGCACCTCTCTTTTTCACTGCTTCCAAGTACACCCAACCGGACTCCATTACTAAGCATTCTTCCCCAATTCCCAGCTTAACTGACAGCAACCGGAATGCCACTGGAATCGAACTATCTGCAGCCACCTTCCCGCAACACCCACTAGAGGCTTATCAGCAACAGTCCCTTATAAGGTCACGCTGTCCCGTCACCATGGCGGCGTTCAACGTTCGCACTCTAAGACAAATCCATTAACAGGCTGCACTCGCACGCACGTTGGACACACTGGGTATTGCCGTGTGTGTCTGAAACTGGGATCAATGATCCTACTGGGGTTCTTGAATCAACTGCGCCCGGCTTTTCCCCTCGCTATTGGTCTCACGCATCCGGAGATGCTGATGCACCTGGGGTAGGTGTAGTTCTCAGCCCCAAGACCGAGTCATCGTTGATTGATTGGATTAAGGTGAACAGCCGTTTGTGTGCAGCCCGTTTGACGATATGAACTAAGGTTGATTCACGAAGTAATATAAAATACTGTTTGTGATTCCCGCTTATGCTCTCACCGACCGCAGTTCTGATGCTGCCAAAGAAGCATTCTATCACGAACTGAACGCGCTACCAAGCAGTGCTATTAGTTCAGATATCAGTTCTTGCAAGGGAAATGAATGCACAAGTAGGGCGTCTGGGCTCTTCAGAAACTCAGCTGGGTGGTAATTAGGGGCTTAACTTCGAACGGACTGACAACCGCGAGCGCCTGCTGCAACAGTGTGCGGAGCTCCAGTTGATTCTTAGTAGCACTGCTTTTAGACACAGTGGGCGCCGAATTACTACTTGGTTTCCGCCTGTAGCTGATCAGCGATGGACCCAAAGTAACCACATTACGATAAGTTACAGGTGGCGTAGTTTCATCCTGGATTGCCGCTCGTTCTGATGTACCTGCATAGACTCTGATCATGCCATGGAACGCTGTCGTTTACCCATGAACTTCACTGGGAGGCGCACCAAACGTCTCCTCCGACTGGCAAATAAAAAATTGTCTCAGCCCCCGGGCCAGGTAAGCCAATCAAGACGCAGTGCATACCGAACTTTTGTTGTTTCGCCCTAAAAACACTGAGCTTCCGTGGAATAGGATCTCGGCCGTCATGCACGATGCAGAAGCCTCTGTTTGTGGACTTATCAGTCGTCCCCCCATCAGTCAGTGGATATCCGAGAAGACGGTGAACCTGTTGGAATCCTGAATAAAACCTCCCGGCTGGCTTTGAGCATAATGTGACTAGACAGAATATAAGGAGCGAACCACAAGTACTGTGCATCCCGACCTCCCAGCAACGACCGATTGTTTCCTGGAGCCAGTATGCACGAGGTAGTGGGTAACAGACAGATAGGCACTTTGTCAGCATACACATCAAGCGCAACCACGCCGGCGATATTAAGCAACAGTCAATCACTTGAAACGACGAGATCAAATAAAATAAATCGAACAATGCATACAGATACGGTGACATAACTCTGCACCAAATGAGCATATGTAATAAATTCGTTACGAACAACTCCGCGATAAGTTCAAGACGTCAGAAAATATGTTTTAAGAAAATGCCACAAACAAAAATGTTATCGAAGTTAACTAAAGCAGTATAAGGGGCGTGTGCAAGTTTATAGAAGATAGTTCAGATAGACATTATTATGAGACAAAAAAGCATTGGGACAACATAGCAAACCCGCCACTTGATATAAAGAGACTCGGCATGCAACAACACGGTTAGTAAATCGAATGCAGCGTACCTACAAACCCTGCGGCGGTTCCACCTACGCTCTCAGCAGGACTCGTCGTCGCTTCGGTGGTGGCCCCAAGTGACCTCGCTTATGGCTCACTAGGCCTGCCTGACTCAGGCACTCGCGATCGCGTGTGTTACAGCAACGTGCGCTCTACGTCAATGGAATACAACCCATTTGCGCCTGCCACTTCCGCAACTGACGCTTCTTCTCTGCATGCATCAGAACTTTCTCCTGCACCTCGGCAATGGCATTCGTGATAAGATCGCGTCATTCACGCCGAGAAGCCGCCTACTATTCCCATGAGCTGCAATCAAGATTAGAACGTGACAGGATCACTATCATCACGTCCTGGAAACAAGGCACCGGTTTCCCCGCATGCCGATCCCCCACATTCAGTTGCCCATATAATAACTGCTTCCCTATCCGCGCCAAGCCAATACGTCTTGCATGACCGAGCCATCTCAGCGAAAGTATGCAGTCCACTGCATACATTCCACTTCGGCGCAACACTTCCGTGTCTGCAACTTTGCGCCCCATCCGATGCGCATAATCCGTCGCAATCACTGTTGTTGGAACCGCTCGAGATATCGCACATCCTGCCAGTACATCGTCCTCGTTTCACTGCCGTACAGAAGAACGGACAGCACCATGGATTTGTACACCATCAGCTTCGTGCCAAATGTAAGCTGATGCTTGTCCCACACTCGGTACTCAAGCTTCCCGAACGACGCCGCTGCCTTCGAGACGCGGATACGAAGCTCACTGTGTAGCTGTTGGTCAGTCGACACCACACTCCCAGGGTAGCAGAAGCGGGAGGTGGTTTCCAATAATTCAGCACCAATGCTGATTCGCGGCAATATTGAAGACTGCACCTCCGGTGAAGGCTGAAAGAGACAGACAGTTTTGCTTGTGTTGATGGTGAACCCGAATTTGGCCGTTGTCGAAGCCAGAGCACTAGTCATGTGATGCAACTCATCCGCGCTGTGTGCAAACAATGCAGTCGTCAGCAAACAGCAGCGTACAAATAGTTGTCTCACAAACTAGAGTTCTCGCACCGAAACGACGGATGTTCAGCAACTCACCATCAATACGGTGCTCCACACAAACATCCTAAGCACGAGCGGCATCAAAAGCACAAGGCATCATTGCATGAAGATAAAAATTAAACAGGGCAGGAGCTAAGACACAGTCTTGCTTCACATCAGAGATAACTGCAAAGTCATCCGAGGTCTGTCCACTCAGCTGCACCCTCGCCCGCATACCACTGTGCAGACATTCATTTAAACTTACAAATTTACTCGGACAACCAAACTTATCCAACTCCAGCCACACTGTCTCACGGTTCAACGTATTTAATGCATTTGTGAAATAAACAAAACGCGAGTAAAAAGGCTGGTGCTGTTTCTACACTTCTGCAATTGACGAGCCGCAAACACCATATCCATAGTGCTGCGACCCGAAAGGAATCCATACTGCTGTTCCACCACGTTCGGTTCTACAACCGGACTGACGAGGCGGTTGAGCGTTATTCGGGCAAACACCTTGCCCACAGAACTGTAAGTCAAGTTCAAATGCAAGTTCAAGTGGGACTGGAACGATGGGATGGATACCGTAAGTGTTCTTTCTTGATCGGATCGTTGATCCAGGAATTGATAGGGGTGCTCCGACTTCGTCATGGATCTAAAAGGAAAACACCTGAAAAAACACCCTGGTCCATCAAGTCAATGCCAAGATAATTCATACAAAATTGCTTGTTCCCTATGCCCGTGTACAGCATTAGCACAGGGGGCATCCTTTAGCTCTGGAGGCACCTCCTCCTCAATACACACATACATTGGAACATGGTATTTAATGGGAATAAAAGCTCAGGCTTTACATGACCCATAGGGTAAAGAGTTCGGGTCGGGTCTGATGAAAGGCAACCTTATAGCGGGTTGGACTCGGGTGTTAGCCGTATCTTCATCGGGCTTATGTGGCATTTAAAGAAAATGCACGGCGGCTCAAAGTGTGACATCCCACCAGGAGTTGCACGAAGTGGTGCAGCGCAGTCACCAACACAAGTCCGCCGTGTCTCAATACTTCAGGCGGGATCCCGTTGTCACCGGCATACTTGCCGTTTCGCAGCTGAGAAAGTGTTCCCTGCGTCTCATGCAGTCGGCGTGTCCGCCAGACTCGCCTTTACACCGTGCTGCTTTAGGCCATTCAATCTCTGAACGGTTGTTCAAGAGATGACAATGCGCCAACCGTCGTATTATTCTGATCAAATCAATCAGATCGCTTATAGTTTGCGCGCCCGATGGTCTCCTCGGCAGCAGCTGTCACCTAGTCGCGAATGTGATGCCACGGGTCGCCAACTGTGGCTATGCATTCCTCGTCACACAGGCGTGCAGCCATCACCCTCTCCAGCGCCATAGGTTTCGGCACAGTACCGAGCGAAGTACGTAAGTAGCGGAATCTAAACAGGCTGAAAATATACTGCGTGATTTGGTAGACATCTGTCGTCAGATGCCAATGACCCAGTAAGGGATAAAAAATAGCTAACAAGTGCTAAATGTGTAATATATTCCGGATGGCAGGTTCGAAACACGGAAGAGAAGTCCCGGCTACAAGCGAACGGCACGTGAGAATCAGCGACCGAGTAACTGACGTATTAGCTCGTACGAAATGGCAATCATGCAAGACGACGATGCTCTAATGAGTCGAATACGAAAAGGAGCGAGCGGGACCGAGACAGATGTATTCAACAGCGCGGCATGCGAATAGCGTGGTACACGGCAAGCAAGTATATAAACAACGAGTTTACAAGGAACAGGTACTGGAGCTTGGCCTTTGGTTCCCTTCATTCATTGTGCATTCGGTCCGCCAAGACTTGTAAAACAAGCAAGGGAGACATTAGTAATGGCGGTCAATTTAAACAATACATTGCGGTTTCAACTGTACTACATTGTCTCCCCTTCTAAGTGAGGCACTGTCCCCAGTGCCAGCGCATCTGGAACCAAAGCGAGGCACCCCTAAGCTAGCACATCTACAGTGTGTTCGACTACCGGGAGACAACCGGGTGGCACGATTCCATCTACAGGCGTAGAACTTGAAGACGGTGCCATCGGTTTCAGTTGGTTGTAATGAACGGTCAGTACGTCGGCGTTTGGGTCCGTAACGTTTCGAAGCACACACAGTAGGCGAGCGTACGAACACAACCTCATATGGCCCCTGCCATTCCCGATGGAATTTTCTTGGTGCGCCAGCTGGAAGTCTTGGTCGGTGTAGCCATACACGATCACCATTTCGGTATTCAGGGATTCGACTTTGGCGATCGTAATACCCCTTCTGGCTGTGCTTCGCTCTGCTCATATGCTCCTGCACGCTTTGAAAGGCTACTCGGAGTCGCTCAGAGGTGTTGCGGACGTATCCCGACAGAGTAAGCTTCAACCGGACAGACAGGTGATAGTAATCCCAGAGGTAAGCGAATCTCAAGGTTGAGAGTAAGGTAAGCTGGAGAACAGCCGGTTGTAGAGTACACCGAGGCCCGATAGGCAACCATACATTGTGGCAATGCTTCGTCCCACTGATCAGACTGATGGCGTTCGACGAAGCTCTGTAAGATAGCCTAGATAATCCTGTTGGTCCACTCGACGAGCCCATTTCCTTGTGGATGGTACGATGTAGTTCGTCTTTTTAATGGCTAGCAAGCTGCACATTTCTTGCATTAGATGACTCTCGAAAGCCGCGCCCTGATCGGAGTGCAAGGATATGGGTGCGCCGTAACGAGCCACCCACACGTTGACGATGGTGGAAGCGATAGTGGATGCATTTTGGCATCTGATAGGTATTGCCTCGCACCACTTCGTGTAGTAATCTATCATAACTAGTATGAGTGTGTGTCAGCTTATACGCCGTAACGGCGCTTCACTGCCGCGCGACCACCACCAGTCGCGCGCGGGCTGAGTATACCGCGAGGACGCCCACACCTACGCGGATTCGAACCGGTGACCTTATGGTTGGAAAGCAAACGTGCCAACCACTCGGCCACCGGCCGACGCAGCCGCCGGTTATGCTCCTCAATCGATTGCCTACAAAGGATTATGTCATCCAAATAAACCAGGTGTCAGACCCTCCAGGGCTTTCTGCATTAGTCTCTGAAACGTAGTCGGAGCATTAACTAGACCAAAAGGCATTGTTTCAAATTCATATAGACCGCTGTGAACAGTGAACGCCGTTTTCTCAAGGTCCTTGGGTCCTAGTTCTACTTGTCAGTAACCACATGTAAGATCCAACGTAGAGAATCAGCATGAACCATGGAGTGCACCGAATGTAGCATCCATACGAGGCAGTGGAAATGAATGGTTACGTGGTACCTCGTTAAGCTTTCGGTACTCAGCCCAGCCGCAAGGTCCCGTCTTTCTTCTTCGCTAAAACGATTGGCGACTCCCGCGGTGACAACGGTTTAATAATAGGTTTGTCCAGCATCTCTTTGATCATTGAATCCAACTGCGGTTCGTAATGGACCGGCAACCTGCGCGCATGTTGACGAGTAGGTCGGTGGGACATGGTGTCAATCTCATGTTCAACTAGGTTCGTACGGCCAGGAGAATCAGCTGTGGAAAACACCTCCTTTCGTAGCACTGAGATTAACTGGTCAGTGTTGTCTGTGGTAACGTTAGCGCGTACAATAATTGGCTCAATAACCTTTTGGAAATGAGAGGTAACTGAAGACGTGGCTGCGATAGTGAACGCTCCTCGACCGTCCTGTTGATGATCAATGACGGTTGGCACAGGACTCATCAATACGGTCCCGCATCCAAGTGCAACTGTACAACCACGTCTGGTGAGGAAATCCATTCCCAAAATAGCGTCCCAGGTCAAATTTCCACGAGCCAAAAACTTGTGAGTGGCTACTACCCCATCAAGTTTTACGCGTGCAGGCAGTGTAAACTCGGTTCGCAACCCCACCCCGTTGACGGTGACAACACGAGGCTGCTGGCTGGTAACCGTGTAGACGTTCCTAAGGCTGTGGGCGATATCAAGGCGAAGTAGAGAGCAGAAAGCACCAGCGTCAATCAAAAATGCACGCTAATATCATCTAAACACTCATGTATCATCAATGGTTTAGAGTGCAGATTGCTATTGAAGGTATATACCAAAAGCTGACAATTATGCAAATCTGACACACCTCGGGGTTTTCGAAAAACGATAGGTGGATTGTGGCCACAGCGCTGGGCACGCCTGCCGAAACGCTGACAGTATAGGTATTTCTCCACGGGGGATTTTCGTGCGGGGGAATGGTGCCTGTGATAAACTGCGAAAACGTCGGTCGATGGGCGTAAAGTCGTACAACTATCGTAACCAAAATGGATTCGGTCGGTTTTGTAATGTTCCAGAAATGCCAGATTCCTGGCCTTCTCCAGAAACCTTCACAAGCGGACGAGGAAGTTTTAACGTATATTTGTCACGGAGATATTGGTCGCTTAGGCCCATCGCGAACCTCTCACATATCCACTTCTCCTGATGTGCATAGTTAAGATCTGGAAACCCTTTGTGAGCAAAATTCGGAGACCTGTGAGGAAGGCAGCTGCGTAATTCGAGGTTGGCTGACGCCGAGCGAAGGTGTCACAATGGAACACGAAGGGGTGACATTTGGAAAACAATTTCCGGAGTGGCCCAGATCTTTTCCACGGGTGAATTAACAGGTACGCTCGCGTTAGGAAAATCTGCAACGCTTCTTCGCTTAAGAAACCAAGGATGATCCAGCCGAGTGAACTTTCTGGCGCTGCAGCGACGCACCCAGTGACTTGAAAGTCATCACCCGGACTGAAAACACGCGGTTGGCGACTGAGAGATTGGATCTGCAAAGCTGTGTCTCGGACACAACAAGCAATCTTCGGTGGGCTCATTGGATGATAGAGAGCAGAAGGAAGTTCTTTTGTCAGCTCCGTCACTTCCGGATCGTTGCGGAGATAGCCTGGGTCATTGCGGAACAAGATCCCACAGAGAACCACTGAATCTGCATTGGAAACACCTGGATCCCCGTAAACTAAAAGGAGAATCCAATAAATGCTTGAAACGTTCCTCGGTCTCGGCATTGATGATGGCCTTCGGAAGGCGGTTCCAACCATTTACAACGCGAGTGGATAAAGCCAGGATGGAGCGCACTCGTTGACTGCTCGGACTGAACAGTTTCAAACTGTGGCCTCTTGTCAAACTCACTGTATTGAGATAAAAAAATTTCTGTAATTCCCTCCCCAACTCTCCTCTAAGAATACGTCGGGTGCGGACCGGGATCCTAACCAGTGTTATGTGCATAATTTGGTGAGGGTGGTATGGTACGCCAGGCTAAAAGTGGACTATTTTTTTTCAGATGTTCAGTTCAGATGGGGACTGGAACGATAGGAAAATCCCGTGAGTGTTCCATCTTGAGTGGATCGTTGAGCCAGGAATTGATGAAGTGCTCAGTTATCGATGGATCTAAAACGGAAACACCCGTATCGCACCCTGGCCAACCAGTTAATGCCCACGTTTCCTGCCCTAGCAGTCCCTGCTGTGGCAGTCACGTGAAGTAAGCAAAGGATAGGAAGAGAAATCGAAGGTACAGAATAGGGAAGTGCACTTAAATAAGAAAATAATACCAATACGTGAAGAAAAGTAGAGAAAAGAAAATCGAAGCACGAAGATGTGAGTTACTCAGGAAAATGGAAAGGTTTCGTGTTGCCACCCAAGAGCGTCAAGTTGCCGCTCAAACCCCTTAACCGTGGATTCCCTGATAACACTTTCCGGAAGCATGTTCCAGCGGTCGATAACTCGGCGTGATAGCCGGATTTCCGCCCTAATCCGATCGGACCGCGGTTTGTCCAGCTTCAACGAATGACCGCGTAGAACAGACAATCTAGCGGGACTGAATAGCCAAGACAAATCTGGACCAACCTTCCCAGTCAAGATCCGGTAGGTTAGGATTAGGTCTCCTCTAAGCCTTCGGTAGTGCAGCCCTTTGGAGGATCTGTGTACATTTATCTGTTGGTTTGACTATTTACATTGTAGTCGTTAATCAAAAGCTCAACACTGTTAGAAAAGTGCGAAAATTGTTCGCTTCCTTTTCGTCCGTTTCTCCTTCTCTCCTCTTCTTACATTTGTGTAGCTTTTTGCGGTTATTATACACTTATACAGGCTTTAGCGACTGCCTTTATGAATGCTCGACCACGCCGACCGCTCATTTGACCTTACAACCACCACGCTCGCCTGATCGATGTGCGCCGCTCTCAAAGCTGTAAAAGTACAGAACGCTAACCAACCCACTGGGTCAGGTAACGACACCAAATTGAATGGCAGAAATGCGAAACCGAAGGGTCTTCAAACGAAAGGCATTTGCGGGTTAGGAGAATGTCATCGAGCAGTAAAAATCGGTCTGGTTTGCTCACACTGTTTGCAATGGTATCATACGAAATATGCAGATGTGTCCCAACAACAGATACGGGAGCGAAATAGCTCCCAAGATGTTTTTTTGGTTCTGTACTGCGTGTTCCACCATCGCCTCGTTAAGTGCTTGCTTATCCTAGCTCAGAAATGCGACCGGTTAACCGCAGGAGCAGAGCAGAGGACAAACGATAAGATTACTTCAATGGAAGCGGGTATGCACCACAGAAGCGTAGCGGCTTCTAAGCAACGGAATGCTGAACAATCCGCTTTCCCCGAACCGCAATCAGCCACCTCTCTATCTCCATTGTCTTCTCCAACTTTTGTAGAACGCCGGGCGATAACAGACTGTACCTATGAGAATCAAACAGTACTCACGGCAACGAAAATCAGGCACCATTCAAAACGTCTGGTTAAGCAAATTCCACTAGACATGACATCTAGCATTAACAAGGATGAAGCAGCCAAACACCAACCCTTGGTACCTGTAGCTCAAATAACTTGTCGAGACTAAGCCTCCCAGAACATCAGTAACCTATGCTGAGATTGCTGCAAAGGTTCATCGAGAGGTGGCCGTTGCGGTCTCTTCCATTGTAAACACCGTTAACGCGAATAGAGGGACAAACAGTAAACAATTACACTTGTCAGCAAGCCAGCACAAACGAGTACCATACCTTGTTTATCAACGAAAAGGGATCCAATAATAGTGCTCGGACTGTTGTATGCTCAAAATATCTCTGAATCTACCGCCATCACGTTGCGGGATAAGTTATCAGACGAACAAGACCAATGGAACTCATTGTGTATGCAGATGAGGATCAAAGCCAAGCCCATAAATTTATTACGAATTACTCGTCATCAGAACTCACCACACTATGGAGAACCCATACTTATTCAAGTAACACTAGAATCCTCCACCGAAGTAGAAAACGTTTTGCTCTCCGCAAGCGCGCTAAAACACCGATCATGTGGGATACGTATCTATCCTGATGTCCCTTGGAGCGCGCGACAAGCAAAAAGCAATCTTCTTACATGGCGTGCCAGAATATCCTTCTAACGATGTTCAAGAGAGCGGAAAGCACGAGTTAGATCAGTGGCGGTTCATACGTGAAACACTTACTTTGGATAATATTGTGGCACTATCGCTCACCAGGATACCTCTCTCATCAAATTATAGAGGATGTGGCCCTAGAATCCTAAAACTTCTGGTTCCGTCAGAGCAACAAACAAAGGATGCTTTAGATCGATGGCGCAGAAATTGGAAATATCTTCCATTTGAAATTCCGTTAAAGGTTGCAAACGCTTTGCACAGCTAAAATAGTAAAGCAA